TTTATTTGTATCAGAGAGACAGACAAAGAGCAGTGTGGAGGGGCAGAGGGAGAGGGAGAGAGAAGCCGATTCCCTGCTGAGCAGGAAGCCTGCTGCAGGGCTCCATTCCAGGACCTGGGGATCACAGCTTGAGCCAAAGGCAGATGCCAAGCCGAGCCGACTGAGCCACCCACGTGCCCTGAGGTCTGTCTTCTTTTAAAAGCCGTGAGGATGAAACAGGCCTATGTGTGAAGGACCCAGGTCAGGTCACTATCTGAAGAGTAGTAGTGCGCTGGGCAGGGTGCTCTGTGGGGAGCACCAGGAGCTAGTGCACAGCAGAGAGGCATGACAGGGCTGTGCTCCAGGAAGATGATCCTGACCATGGCACAGAAGAGATGATCAACTGATGCTTGAACTTACTAAACTCATTCACTCGTATCTTCTGAACTCACTGTGGGCACATTTCCTAAATGATGTTCATTATAGACATTTCCATAAGTTCATGCTCTTGTTTTCATCTTGTTCCAAGTGAACTACTAGTTCTTACAGACACTCTGTGCAGTTTCTCTTTTCTGCGTTTCCTCGTGCCATGGGTACGCGAATGAGAAAAACGATTCCCACCCTCCATAAGCAGGTCCTGTGGTGGGCTGGGCGCCATGACATGGTGATAAAGTAAACCAGATGCAGCGTCCTCCCGTCTATGTCACCTCCCTCTCTACTTCTCAAACCAGCCATTCTAAAATATTTGCCCTTCTCTTTGAGGACCCTGCGCTATGCCTCCTTTGTTGCCACATCCTGCCACCTCTCTTGCCCTCCCACAGATGTGTCACTTTCTACCTCACAGAAGCCATAAGACATAAACTCTCATCTATCTGTGCCTCTCCCGCCCCTCCCCCCAATAAAATGCATCTATAGCCGTCATTCCCAATCTGGGGGAAGAAGCTCTCTCTTTCCCAAATCGAGGGTTATCCTGCCACCTGCATCCTGGATCCATCGCCCCCTTCTTCATGAAGATTAACCATCCTTCTTCACCTACCCTGAACGCCTTGGTCTTATATCCAACTGCTTGACTTAACAGGTCTACTTGGATATCTAGTTATGCTCAAAAAAAAACTTTTTCCAGTAGCTCAGGCCTAAAAATCTTATAGTCACGATTTCTTTTTTCCCCCCTCATATATCACATTCAATCTTGCAGCCAATCTTGGTGCTTTCCCTTCAAAATAGATCCAGAACCACAGCTTCCATCCTGGTGCAAGCAAGCCATCTGATCTGTGTCTTGCCTGGATCACTACATCGGCCTTCTAAAGAATCCGCCTGCTTCCATCCTTGCCCCCTACACTGTATTCTTAACAACTAGAGTGGTCTCGTTGCAACACAAGTCAGATAATGACAACCTTCTGCTTGAGCCCCTAAACATGTTCCATTCCACTCAGAGCAAAGCTCGAAGCTTTCCAGGCCCTACATGATCCACAGCTGTTGCTTCTCAGGCCCTATTCTTCTACCTTGCCCCTCACTCGTTCTGCTCTAGCTCATCGACCTCCTGGCTCTTCCTCCAGCATGCCAGGGACACCCCCCCACCCCTCCACTACAGGCCTGTAACGTCACCAGAGTCTTTCTAGGTTCATATCAACATCCAGATTTTATGATTATCCTAACGTTCATCTGGCACCAGAATCACTTAGAATGATCCCGGATTGAAGTCACAGCTTGCAAGCAAAGTGGCATCAGCCTTTTTCTACCTTAGGAGGAACCTTCGTCACTGGCTGTCTATGGTCCACACCCCACCCAGGACCTTGGCTCTCTGCGAGCCCCTCCTCCCCAGATCACCTCAGAAACCAGGAGAAGCAATGCACTGGAGGTGGAGTCTGCACTTACCTTGGCTTAAAAGCCTTATGCTCAAAGAGACTAAGATCTGTTGTAACTCAATAGATACACTTTTCGTGTGTCAAGGGACATGTCCAATTATAGGTGTCACCACAATCACGGAAGTCCCGCAGTGTGGCTTCCTCCCAGGCATTTATCATTCTTCCAGGCCAGATGCAGTTGACCCAACAGCAGTCATTTATACCATCAGCAGTGTTGCCTAGTAACACAGCTAACATTCTACTTTTATCAGGTCTCCAGGGAAACAGAGCTCGAAAGCTGAGAAAGTCAAATGTCAAATTCTCCTGGAGAAGAGGAAGGAATCTGTGAACACTGTCCACACATCTCTTGCTTTTGCTGTTCCCTCTGCCAGGGAGGTTCCTCCCTGGGCATCTGCGTGGCCTGCTCCCACACTTCCTTCAATTCCTTCATCAAAAATCACCTTCTCAATGAAGGCTTCCTATTTGAGAACTGCAAACTCCTAACATCACCTGCTGAGACCAGCCTCATATGCTCTATTTTCTTTTCCATTCTCCTTATTACCTTCTAATATATGGAATTCCATGAACTGATTTTTCTTAGTTGCCTTACCCACAGAATTTAAACTCCATAGGCGGGGATATTTGTCTTTGACTCTTTCCTCCTGCAGTGATGATTCTTAGCACCTAGGACAGTACCTGAGACCCAGTAGTTTCTTCAACAACCATTTGTTTTATTTGCTAATGGATGTATGTCTTTCCTCTCTTCACTGGCATCCTTTTTTGGGGGTGGAGGAAGGGAAAAATGTTTTCAGTCTACAGATAAAAAGCAGCATGGGGTTAGAAATTAAGAGCAGAGATTTTGGGGCCAAACTGCCTGGGTCTCAGGAAGTGTTCTGCCATTCACCCTGGAGGTTTCCTTAAGCTCTCTGTGCCTTTGTTATCTCCCTGGAAATGGGGGATAATAATAGTCCCACATCTTACAGTTGCCATGAGGATGAAAGGAGTTAAAATATGTCTGAAGTATTCAGAAGAGTACCTGACAGTTAGGAAGCACTATGTGTTAGCTATTATTGAAATCAGCTATTTTTTTTAGAGAAGGAGAGAGGGGGGTGGTCAGGAGGGAGAAGGGCAGAGGCAGAGGTAGAAAGAGAATCCTCTTTTTAAATTTTATTTATTTTTATTTTATTTAAATTCAACTTGCCAACATACAGTATAACATCCAGTGCTCATCTAATCGTGTGCCCTGCTTAACGTGGGAGAGAGAATCCCAAGCAGGCTCCTTGCTCAGCATAGAGCCCAATGCAGGGCTTGATCTCATGACTCTGAGATTATGACCTGAGGCAAAATCAAGAGCTGGATGCTTAGCCAACTGAGCCACCCAGACACCCCTTTCTTCCAAGTTTATCTTTCCCTCAGCTGATCTACCTGAAAGTCACATCTACCCCATAGTCTTTAATTTCCATTTGCTTTTCCAACCACTCAAACTATGTTTCTGAAAGAGCTAAACATGCTACTTTTCTCTCCTTAGTCCATGGGTTAGTTGTACGGCTGCCATCATTGATCACCCCTGCCCTGCCTTTGACTTCTGAGCTCCTCCTCTTTCCTGGTTTCCACCTATCTGTGTGGCTGCCCCTTCTCAATCTCCTGCAAAGGCACCCCTGTTTCCTTTGTTCATGCTGTGGTACTCCTGACATCATCTCACCTGTCACATTCTCCTTGCTGAGTCCATTCACAGGCATGGCTTCAATTCTACACTGATGATACCCAATGACTGCCAGTCGTACTGACAGTTTTCTAAAGATAGCATGTTCTTCCCCACAGCCATTAGAACTTTATTTCTCCTTTCTGGCACTTTTCCCACCCTAGCTCTGTCCCCCTGACTATAGCTGGTTCTCTAAGTCTTTTTTTTTTTTAAGATTGTATTAATTTACTTGAGAGAGAGTAAGAGTAAGCACAGACGGAGAGGGAGAAGCAGACTTCCTACTGAGCAGGGAGTCCGATGTGGGGCTTGATCCTAGGACTCTGGGATCATGACCTGAGGTGAAGGTACCCTGGTTCTCCAAGTTGTAATACAACCACCCCCTTTCCTTTGTTCCCCAAGCCCAGTATTCACCTCTGCATGCCCTTAGTGCCTTAGGTTTATCTCTATCATAATATAACACTTGATTGCTGGTTTATTTAGTTTCACCCAAGTAATGAAATATCTATCTATATCTATCTATATCTGTATCTATCTATCCTCAAAGTATAGTACCTGGCACATAGCAGGTATGCAAAAAGTATCTGGATTCAATATATGAATATACAGCATCTATATAGAATAAATTTTGATTGGGTTACATTGTAATTCAGAATAAACATGGCGGGGGGGGGCAATTAGGTGGCTCAGTTAAGTGTCTGACTCGATTTTGGCTCAGGTCACAATCTCAGGGTCATTAGACTGAGCCCTCTCTTGGATTCCATGCGCAGCCCCTAGTCAGCTTGAGATTCTCTCTCTCCCTCTCTCTCTGCCCCTCCTCCCACTCATGTACACACATAGGTGTGCAATCTCTCTCTCTAAAATCAATGAATCGGGATCCCTGGGTGGCGCAGCGGTTTGGCGCCTGCCTTTGGCCCAGGGCGTGATCCTGGAGACCCCGGATCGAGTCCCACGTCGGGCTCCCTGTGCATGGAGCCTGCTTCTCCCTCTGCCTGTGTCTCTGTCCCTCTCTCTCTCTGTATGACTATCGTAAATTAAAAAAAATAAAATAAAATAAAAAAATAAAATAAAATCAATGAATCAATCATTGAGTTAAATAACGTCTCATCAAAATGTTAGTTCTTTTGGAAAATCCTATCAGGCGTTAGTATAAGAGGTAAACAAAAGAAGGTTCCCTTTTGGCAATATAAATCACACTGTGGCTGTCACATGCTATATTTTATTATAAAGCCAACTTTGAAAGACGAGGGATTCCCTCTGATGTTAGTGTTACTTGGCTACAGTCACCTGCTGTCTGGGCTCAGGGAGTTCAGTACAATAAGTGTGTTGGCCTCCCTGCTGTGACCGTAAACGTCGTAGGCAAGGCAAGAAGGGCAACTAGAACTCGGTGGCTAAAAATCCCCCTGCCAGCTCTTTGTAAAGGGTCTGACAGCTTAGTACCTTGCTCCGGCTTCATTCAACCGAGTCCAGGCACCTACCTGGAGTGTACATCCAAACACCCCGATCATCAGCATCGCCACCGAGAGGTAGTCGGTGAACACATCCCACCACGGTTTCAGCACGCGGAAGGCAGGCTGCTGCTCAGAGAACTGCCGGAATTCTGTTACCGGAATCATGTTTCTAAGAAAGGAAAGGTGGTGAATTAATTTACCTGCATGCACAACACACTGCGTTAACAGCCTTTGTATTTATTTATTTTATTTTATATATTTTTAAAGATTTTATTTATTTATTCATGAGACACACACAGAGAGAGAGAGGGAGAGAGAGAGGCAGAGACGCAGGCAGAGGGAGAAGCAGGCCCCACAACACAGGGAGCCTGACGTGGGACTCGATCCCGGGTCTCCAGGCCCAGGCCCTGGGCTGAAGGCGGCGCTAAACCCCTGGGCCACCTGGGCTGCCCAGTTAACAGCCTTTGCAATGCTGCTGCAGCCCAGGAGGACAGTCTGGACTAGCCCAGGAGTTGCTGTGGCCCGAGTGCTTTGTTGGCCAGAACCAGTGGTGAGTGGTTTCCACAGCGAGGAGGCAAGTCCTTTCCCTGGCTACCATTCCCTAAGTGGGTTCCCTTTGGCTCCCCGGGAACCACAGAGACCAGGGTCAGGGCAGGGCAGGGCATTATTTCTTGGACTCTCCCGTCACCTCAACAGACTACAAAGATGCTAGAGAGAATAGAGTCCAACCCTTGAAATGCTTCTGTCATTTACCTTCCTGTCCTGGTGGCAGCTTTAAACTATTTTAAGTGTAATCTCAGCATTGGCTTGTGTCAACTACTGGTCTCTCTGTGAGGTAACAGCGCTTGCTCCCAGGAAGGCAGTTGACTTTGCCACATAGTCCTGGTCTCCTGAGAAGGAAGACCTCCGAGGTGGTGGTTGCCATAGGGGGCGGGGGTGCTTTGCAAAGAACCTCATTTTTTTCTTGCCTCCCCTGTTTTTATCCCTGTGCTTTTGGCTTGATCTCTTTTCTCTATTTTCTGTATTCCTCATATTTCACCATGAACCTCAAATTTATCCTGATTTTCTCCTCTGAGAAATCCGTTGTCCCTGGAAATGTCCACCTCCACCGAAATAACAGGAGGTAAATGATTAAGCTGCACCGGAGGCTCTGGGGAAGGGGAGAAAGAGACACATGCTCTTCTGGTCTGCGTTGTACTTTCTCCCGGCTCAGGCCCACTGCCTTTACTGTGATCTGGGACTTGAAGTTCATCGCCCCGCTACTGTGAGAAGGAATGTTCTTTTCTTATCTTATGGCAGCCAATGTGGGACAAAGAGAAAATTTCTCTCCCTTTTGCCACCTTGGGATCCAATAATCTAGCTCTCTGAAGAAATGTGTGGGAAATATCAGAAAGGGAGACAGAACATAAAGACTTCTAACTCTGGGAAATGAACTAGGGGTGGTGGAGGGGGAGGAGGGTGGGGGGTGGGGGTGAATGGGTGACGGGCACTGAGGGGGACACTTGACGGGATGAGCACTGGGTGTTATTCTGTATGTTGGTAAATTGAACACCAATAAAAATTAATTTATTAAAAAAAATCTAGCTCTCTGCATCTGTCCTTGTTAGTCCTAATTAAAGAGCAAGGGCAAGGCTACATTTGCTGCTTATCCTCCTAAGCTCTGTTTGGGTCATGGATCCTTCCTTCCCGAATCCTGAATCGGGAATCCTGTACAATCAACAGCCCAAAGCAAAGCAAAGCCTCTTTTGTTGACTTCACTGGTGGTTATCTTTGGAAACCATTATAACATTATCCATTCTGTCCTGTTGCTTTAGCCGACTTCCTTAAGCAGCGATTTGTCTTCTTTGTGGTTTGTTCCTTTAACACAATGTTGAAAATTTCAACTGCCCAGTGCCACTCTCACCTATGACCTACTGACTGGACGTCTTTGCAGCATTTGATATGATTTTTTTTAATGATTTTCTCATTTTATCAAAACACAACTTTCCTTACTCCATTCTGTTACTACCACTAGGCTGGAAGCTTCTTGAAGGAAGAACCTGTATGTTATGCATGTGTGTTCTCAAAACATATGCTGCTGGCAAGTCACACAAGCTAAATAAAGAACTTTGCAGATTCCTAGCATCCTTGACATTTCACACTAGTTCAAAGTTTGATTTCCTGATACTTCACGGCCTCTTTGCTTCTCAGTGAATCACTACAACCTCACTGCCCCAAGTTTTCCCTAGTCCCAATGGTTGAAGTGGCGGTCGCAGAGGCTCTAACTCCTCTTAACCTCCAAGCTCTGCTTCAGAAGCTACTGTCTTACTCTTTTTCGCAGAGGCTCTAACTCCTCTTAACCTCCAAGCTCTGCTTCAGAAGCTACTGTCTTACTCTTTTATTATTATTATTATTAATTAAAAGATTTTATTTTTCATGAGAGAGAGAGAGAGCAAGCAGGGGGAGGAGCAGAGGCAGATGGACAGCAGACTCAGTAGACTCTGGAGTGCGTTGTAGGGCTTGATTCCACGACCCTGGGATCATGACCTGAGCCAAAACGAAGAGTTGGATGCAAAACTAGTTGAGCCACCCAGACACCCCACTACTGTCTTATCCTGTGTTGCATCCCCATCACTTACCACTGTGCCTGGCAAACAGGAGGAGGCCCTAAACAACTGTTGCTGAACATGTGAATGAGTGAATTCAGATGCTTATTCATGGAGCATTGCTCCTCCATATCAAATCTGGGGCAGCCCTAACCAGCTGCACAGTCAGTGCTAACAAGGACTGTACCTGTGCTGTAGTCTACATTTTTAAAAAGATTTTATTTATTTATTCATGACACACACACACAGACAGAGAGAGAGAGAGGCAGAGACATAGGCAGAGGGAGAAGCAGGCTCCCTTCAGGGAGATCAATGGAGGACTCGATCCCAGGACCCTAGGATCATGAGCTGAGCCAAAGGCATATGCTTAACCACTGAGCCACCCAGGCGCCCCTCTAGTCTACATTCTTGATGGATTTCTTAGTTGTTTCTTTCATGGTAAGTTCCTGTATACCTTGGAGGCAACTGGGCTCATTCTTTAAAGTGAAGAACAATTTCAGGAATAAAATGCACCAGCATAGAGCAGTGGTTTTCAATTTTTTTTCATCTCAGGACCCCTTCATGCTCTAGTATTAAGAAGGACCTCAAGGAACATCTTTTACGTGGATCGCACTACTCAATATTTACCATATTAGAAATTAAAGCCAAGAAAATTTAAAATCAATATATTAACAAAAATAAGCCCATTACATGTTAAATTGTATTATGAAAAATAACTCCAGTCTTAAAAAAAGTGAGAATAATGGTATTGTTTTACACTTTTGTAAATTTCTTTAACCTCTGTTTAATGGAAGATAGCTGGATTCTCATATCTGCTTCTGCATTTAATCTGCTGCAATGTTATTTTGATAGAAATTTATGAATCAAATAGATACACAGTTGGAAAATAGAGGAGTATCTTAACAGCCTTTTCATATAATTGTGGTTATTAATTTTTGATAATATATCAAACTGACTTGGTTAGCTGAATTATAGAATCTGAAGACTATGTCAATGAACTTTTCAAAATTCATGATATTAAAACTCATTCTTCTATCTTGCACTTCAAATAGATCTTTCACCCACACATGGTTTGTAACATCATACATTGGTCATCAGGAAAATACTGGACCACTGAGTTATGCAGATCTCCCAAATGTTAACAAATTATCTTAAAAAAATCACATTCATTTATACCATCACTGCTTCCATGAGAAAAGTTTTAAGGAATGGGAATTTTTCCAAAATTCTAATCACTACTTGAAAGTTGATTTTCATTTCTGGCAGCAAATAGTATCAGTGGCTTTTCTTGAAGCATTAGACTCACTTCGTTCATTTTGAGAAAATAACTTCCACATTCTATAGTCCAAAAAATCAGTTGTTTTAGTCAAGTAAAAATGGTGTAATATGATAAAGTAGCTAATTCAACTTTCATCTCAAATAAGAACTTTTCCTTGAAACAACCATTGTACTGTGAAATGTAGCAGAAATGTTGTATGTATGTAATTTTCTCCCTCATCATACAGTGCATTAAAACAATATGTAGTCAAGGGTTGTGAATTTTAAAAACAATTTTTATTGGGTCAATAAGGACATTAAATGAAACTGGCATTTTTTTCAAGTTGTCAGTGTATGCCAATGAAGAATATATTCACCACAGTACAGCCTGATATCTCTATCTAGATTCATGCTAAGATGCCTTACCCACCATCGCTTTTGCACCATAAGAGAAAAAGGCAAAGAAAAATCTTAGCCTTGAAAAATAGTTTTGACTTTGCAGACTCCTTAAAAAGGTTTAGGCCACCAGGGTTCCATGAACCACACTTTGAGGAGCACTGAGGTAGAGGCTCACTGTTTTCTTTATTTGCAGCTCTTGTTAAAAAAGCAAACCCTGGGCACTTAGAATAAGCAATGTTCTCTGAGCCCTTGGCCTAGTTGTCTTCACAGGCATTAGTCTCTTAATATGGAAAATAAAGACAAACTAAGGAATCTAAGAAACTTAAATATTATGCACTGCCTCCTAATTCTGGCACAGCCTAATTAAGATGGGTTGTTAGAAGACATACAAATGGCCAAGAGACACACGAAAAAATGTTTAACATCACTTGGCATTAGAGAAATACAAATCAAAACAGAATGAGATACTACCTCACATGGGTCAGAATGGCTAAAATTAACAAGTCAGGAAATGACAGATGTTGGCAAGGATGTGAAGAAAGAGGAACCATCTTACACGTTGGTGGGAATGCAAACTGGTGCAGCCACTCTGGAAAACAGTTTGGAGGTATGGAAGTTACTCAAAAAGGTGAAAATAGCAACATCTGGGTGCCTCAGTGGTTGAGCATCTGCCTTTGGCTCAGGTCATGATCCTGGGCCCGGAGATCGAGTCCCACATCACGCTTCCCGAAGGGAGCCTCTTTCTCTGTCTCCCTATGTCTCTGCCTCTCTGTGTCTCTCATGAATAAATAAAATCTTCTTAAAAACTGAAATTAAAGCTACACCATGCCTCAGGAATTGCACTATTAGGTATGTACCCCAAAGATATGAATGTAGTGAGTGATCCAAAGGGGCACCTGTACCTCAATGTTTATAGCAGCAATGTCCA